CCCCTACTCCTTCTTTTCATTAAACTAGACATACCCAATTCCTGCAACCGTTCTTCATATGTTTTAGCCTCCAGTCCCCTAATCATCTTTATTGCTCTTCTCTGCACTCTTTCTAGAGTCTCAACATCTTTTTTATATTGTGGTGACCAAAACTGGATGTTAGTATTCCAAGCGTGATCTAACAGTTGGAATCTGCCATCTTAATATCCATGTTTCTTTGTCTGCCCTCTGGAATGAGACAGAATAGATAACTGGGACAGATGATCCCATGGAAGAGGAAGTGATATCAAGGACTAAAATGAGGCAGCAGCTTCCCAGGAAGGAGGGAGCACATTCCAGCATGGGAAGCGGGGAGACAAGAGGCAACACAACCCGGAGATGGACAGGAAACACAGAAAGAAATAGCCCCTCCCTAGAATCTCCCAGGGTATATACATTTGGTTGAGGGTAGTAAGGGTTAACCTTGTCAATGTTGATGTCCATCTAAGCCCAAGAATGACATGGAACAGTTTAGCCAGAGTTCAATTCTTTTTTCTTTTTCTTTTGGCTTACACATAACAGACAGAATGTTGCCAAACTCAATCGTTACCACCCTCAGCCTAACAGATATATCCTGGAGATTCTAGGGCAGTGATGGCGAACCTTTTAGAGACTGAGTGCCCAAACTGCAACCCAAAACCCACTTATACATTGTCGAGTGCCGGGTGGGTGTGGCCCATTGGATGGGCGTGGCCCATTGGGTGGGTGTGGCTGCAGTGGTAAGGGCAGACTGGATGGGACTAAAAAGTTAAATCAATCAATTCCAACTTTGCAAGATTTTTTTTCCCGCAAGAAGTTGAAATTGATTGAACCTTTTTTTTTTTGCACATGGCGGCGGCCTAAAGCTAAAAGGTTTTATAAAACCCAGCTGAAGGCCTAGGACTGGGGTGACGGCGCACGTGCCCACAGAGAGGGCTCTGAGTGCCGCCTCTGGCACCCGTGCCATAGGTTCGCCACCACTGTTCTAGGGAGTACCTTATCCAAACTTTCTTTCTTTGTCTCCTGTTCATCTGTGGGCCGTGCTGCCTCTTCTCTCTCCCCTTCCCTTTCTGGAATGTGCTTCCTTCTTGCTGGGAAGCTGTTGCCTCACCGTAGTCCTTCACACCACCTTCCCCTCTGTGGGCATCATCTCTCACAGTTTATCTACTCTCTGTCATCCCAGAGGGCAGACACAGAAACATGGATATTAAGATGGCAGATTCCAACTGAGTGTTAGGGAGAAACTTTCATGGAAGAGTAATTACACCATGGAACTAATTACCCAGAGATATAATGATTTCCCCTTTGTTGGATAAACCAGCTCACCTCCACAGGCATCATCTTGCACAATAACTGTCATATTCCCACTCGGTCTTCTCCTTCCAAAGCTAACCTGCTCAGATGCTTCTGTCTCTCTCGACTAAATTTCTATTCCACTAATCCTCCCCCTCTGAAGCTGTTCCAGTTTCTCTAAATCCTCGTTAAGGTATAGAGCCCAAAACTACCTCCGATCGGGTAAGATGGGAACTCGCCATCCTTTCACTTGGCTGAGGCGTGGGTCAGACAGCTCAATATGAAGAGGGAGTTTGGGGACCCAAACGGTCATTTCCAAGAGGGCACTCAGGTGCTCATAGCTGAAGAAGACACCTGCATTCATGGACCCTCTAGACTCCTTGCCGCTCACAAAGACATAGTCACAGCTGCTGGATACCTACAGAAAAATGGGGAGGGAAAAAAAAGACATGTGGTGAGCCCCTGGTGAGGACTTTCAGGTAATTTTCAAAAAATTACCATCGAACAAGGGACGATTTCTAAATTGGCCTCTTACTTGGCTGGCGATTGTTTTAAAGCATTTGTGTCACGTCAGTAAGAAAGAGGGAAGGGGAAAAAAAGAGAGAAGATGGACACGTAAGTAAAGAAATAATAGCAACAGCACAGATTTACCGAAGCCTCTCTTGAACCACTCTAATTACCAAATAAAAAACAGAAGCAGAAAAAGAAATGGTTTGGAAAAACATTTCCATTATAACTGATCAATATGCATATTGGCTAAGTAAACAATGGCCTTTACTAGAGGGACAAGCAGTTAAGGATACTGCATAATTTCACATGCATTTGAACTCTAAAGTGGCTCAGTTAAGAGACCATTTCTATTATCGGCACGCTATAGCCTTTATTGTGGCAAATAAGCAGGCTGAAAGCTGTGTACTTCGTATAGTCTGCTCCCTGAATTCTGCTGATTTATTTATGTTCTACCAAGGGAACATTTTGAACGTGCAGGAGGAAGGTCCTTGGGCAAACAATACTGAACTGGGCCCAGGAGGCACAATTTTGTCCCCCCCCCCACCTGCATCCCAACCACTCCTAAAAGTGACTGGACACACAATGTTTGTGCCCCAGTTAAAACGGGTTGTTCTGATGGGATACAAATTCTACTGAAGTGTTATAACCATTCAAAATCGAATGAAATGAATAACACTTATAATAACTATTAGAATACATCAATATGTATCTTGCAAGCACTTTGTGGAGTTGGAAACTGAAAACAGCAAATCCTTGCAGTTATGCTCCTATCAGAGATGGGTGCATCTGCTGTTCCTTCACCAGGGATATTCTCTGAGGTTTGCCAGCTTGTTTCAATATATCTGTTGTGAAAGAGATGTCAAGAGCCAAAGTTTCCCAGGGCAGAGATGACAATAATACTTGACTTCAAGGCCATAAAGTAAAGGGTGAAAGTTTATTGAAAGTGTGGGAAAGGGCATGTGAATGTATGTGAAAACAGGAGACTTATGAATCCAGTCTAGAGAGGCTATCATCTGGAGAAGAGTTGGTTGAGGAAACACCCTCATAACCTATCAACCTCTATCAAACTAGTAATAGATATTCACTAAAGTCCTAAGAAGTGGATTAATTGGAAAACTCATTACACTCCAAACTCAACAGATCAGGACGGCTGATCTAAACAATGACTAGAGAATCAGTAATAGGTTGAGATCAATTTGGATCTGACTTTGGAAAATCTGTTTGCTCTGAGAATGGTAGACCCTAATTTGGAGATACCTGTACTCACACTCACAGTGTGGTGAGACAAGTTATTTAAAATCTTTGGAACGGCTTAAAAGGGAATCTGCTTGCTCAGAAACAAAGCAAACAAGGATAGGAAGCATCCTAACAATCAAAAGGGGTTTCAAAGAACATTATGATTAAATCTACCCATCATGTTAACCATTTTATTTGAGTACCCGTTACAAATTCTCAAAATTTTGCATATCACAAGTGAGTCATAAAAGTTGATGACTCTCTATGAGAAAGAGATAGCAGTCAGTAAGAATTGGGCTGTTGGGGCAAATGTGATCTCTAGGTAGTGGAACCTTTTAAAATGCCAAATTACAACATCTTGTCATGAAATAAATCTCAGAAACAGTTGCTCCATGAAAAAGGTCCCTGGGCTCTTGAAAGAGGAGACACGAGCATGGGCCTAGTGGACCCCCCAAAGCTTCCACTTTGCAGCTTTGGATGTTGTGTGATCTTGCAATGTTTCCTAATAATTGCATGTGATGGCCAAGGCTAGGTAGGCACCATACAAGCTAAAGGGAAGGCTCCAAGAATCCAATAGATCTTGCTAATGTAACCCAGACCTGGGTTGATTTTGGGGCTAGACTACTCTAGCATCTTCTAATAGGGCTGCCTTTGGGGCATCCACAGAATCTCATGTTTATGTAAGTTCAAAGTGGGCAAGATGATGAACTGAAGGCTTGCATCACAATACTCCAGCTACCACTTAGCCCATTCTGGCCCACATAGAGATGAATAGACTTTGGAAATTGTAGGAAGTTCCAATTGTATTTATTAGTGGACATGAATTATTAGGAGCAAAGAAAACTTTTAAGAGTCAGTCTCCCTCTTTTATGTTCAAATGCTATTAAACAAGAATGTAATAGATGGGAAACACAGATCATTCCTTTTATGTTTCTTCTGTTTCTGCTTCTTTGCATGGACCAATGAAATCGTCTACTGAATGCTGGGTAATGCATTTCTTTGGCAAGAGCTTTTCATTGTGGTAATTTTGAACACTCAAAATAATATTACTTTCAGTTTTACGAGTAGCTAATAGACATCTTGCTATAAAGGGCCACCTCAAGCTCCTGAAAGAAAGATGGGATAGAAATCAAATGCATTAATTTGAATGTTATGCCCATTCTCAAGATGGCAATGAGATGGATTTCCCCCAATGCCAAACAACCAAGAGGACGCCCTCAAAATACATGCTGAAGAACATTCATAGACGACTTAAAGGTTTTAAACATCACAGGGGAAGATGCTGATGTACTTGCCCCACACCGAAAATACTGGAGAATCCTTGCTGCCCGATATGCTACAAAGCATGGGAGGATCTAACGTTAATACTAATGCTACTCCAGCCATTAGTTAATACTAATGCTACTCCAGCCTTATTTTACAACCTTCCCTCTTTGCAGTCCTAGCATCTCTGATGTTCACTATCAATAACAGCACGTTCTCACAGTTGTGCAACAGGTCAGAATATTGACTTCTCTTGCCCGGTAGTGTCTACTCTGACTGGCACTTGGAGAGAAAGAAATGTTTTCACGGTTTTGTTCTCTGTGATTCTTTAACTAGAGAGACGGGCAATTGAATCTGAAACATCTTCCATGCAAAACAGGTGGTCTCCCATTGAGGAATGGGCTGTCTCTCAGAAAGTTTCAACCAGAGACCAAAACTGCTGTGAAAATCACTGCTCTCTTCACTTAAATCTACTCCCTGCCCTTCATTCAGATGTATTTTAATTGGAATTTAACAGCCAAGAGAGTTTAATATGATAATGTGTTTGCCTGGCTCTGTATGTCTGCACATACGTGTGGTAAAACCTGCTAGGGTCTATTTCCTCTTACTCCCACAGGGTTACTTAAGCTTGGCTTCAACATCCAAGAGACACAAGCTCAGCATGTCTGCAAAGACAATCCCAGCTTGGCATCAGAATAAAAATGAGTCGTGAAATGCATTTCTGGATACTGTGTCATTCATCAAAATAAAGATGCTGGGCTGTCACTTGCATCCCCTACACTAATAAACATACTCATCGGCATAAACCATTAGAGATTCTCCCAGCCTCTCAGGGCCTGAGAATGCAAATACTACTAAAATTAATACCATCTCAGTTCCAAGATGCCTAAAAAGCAGCTCCTTCCTTTGGCTCATTTTTGCTCTAGTTGCTAGTAAATGCAGCCATTAAGATAATCTAGACCAGTGGTGGCGAACCTATGGTATGGGTGCCAGAGGCAGCACTCAGAGCCCTCTCTGTAGGCATGTGCACCGTCACCCCAGTCCTAGGCCTTAGCTGGGTTTTATAAAATCTTTTCACTTTAGGCCTCCGCCGCCGTGTGCAAAAAAAAAAAAAAAGGTTCAATCAATGAGTCAATTTCAACTTCTCGTGGAAAAAAAAAGATCTTGCAAAGTTGGAATTGATTGAACTTTTTAGTCCCACCCAGTCTGCCGTTACCACTGCAGCCATGCCCACCCAATGGACCACACCCAGCCAATTGGCCACACCCATCTGACACCCAACAATGCATAAGTGGGTTTGGGGTTGCAGTTTGGGTACTCGGTCTCTAAAAGGTTCACCATCATTGATCTAGACCAGTGATGGCGAACCTTTTAGAGACTGAGTGTCCAAACTCGCAACCCAAAACCCACTTATGTATCGCCGGGTGCTGGGTGGGCATGGCCCATTGGGTGGGCATGGCTGTGGTGGTCACAGCAGATTGGGTGGGTGTGTCCAAGGTGGGCATGGTCACCTTGATGTTGCTCGTGAGGAGGAATGCCTGTGGGGGCCGGGCAGGGTTGGGGGAGATCCAGGGGGTCTCTGGCAAGTGGGACAGTGGGCAGGAGGCTCGTCCTGCAGGGTGAGGCAAGGCAGGGCGGGGGTGCCATTGTTGCAGGGCAAGGCGAGGCAGGAGCCAGGGCAGCTGCTGCCTGACACCATCGGCCCCCGAACACAGAGGCCAGCAAGCGCATGGGGGCCGACAGTGTCCATCAGCAGCCACAGCCTGCCGGCCCCTCGACTGGCGCACTCTGGGGCTCTGCAGCCCACCACCAGCAGTTCAAAGAAGCTGCCTCTCAGCTGGACGGCTGGCCAACAGCTGAGGAGGCGATGCAGTGGGTCGTGTCCAGGAAAAGGAGAGCATGCGAGGCCAGGAGGGATGGGATGGGGGGGAGGGAAACCAGCTGTGCTGGGATGCATCCAGCCATGTGGGACCTTGGCAAGTTACCGGGTGGCTGGTTGAAGAGGGACAGTTGCCATCTCCGGAGCATGGTGCGCATGCCCACAGAGAGGGCTCTGAGTGCCGCCTCTGGCACGCGTGTCATAGGTTCGCCACCACTGATCTAGACAAACCTAACGGTGCTTATGTTCTGTTTAGGCAACATAGAATGGGTAAGGAAACCTTCCTAGCTATCAGCAAAAATTTGCACAGGAAGGAGGGGGAAAGAAGCATGTTCATGAGGATTGCAGAGAATCTCATGTTAAGTTTCAAGAAATTGAGTGCAGACTGTTATTGTTGTTATTATTTGCAAAAACAGAAGAGGGGGGTGATGATTGAAAACACCCTGCACAGCATGCTGGGAAATGCAAATTTTCACCTATTGTATTATTATTAAGCATGTTGTGCAAACACAGCCTGGTAGGGATCACTT